TTAATTTTTTCTTAAATTGTTGATTTTTATCCACCCTGTTCACAGACTAGGAACAGTACAAGTAAAAACTTGGTTTCCCCACAGAAACATGGATTCTGCTGTTCCCACTTCTAGGGGGATCTAGGATGGCTGTCTGTATGCTCCAATTTTTCCTGCGTCTCGGGGTATGGTTTTTTGTTTTGTTTTTAAAAGATGGACATGACATAGGGTCAGCCTATTTCAAATGAGGGGCAAAGGCTCCAAAATGGAAGCTCCCCTTCATACTCCCCTATAATTCAAACCCTGGTCTTAGGGTACATGTGGCACTAGGAATGAGCTGATCAACTTGAGACTGTCACCAGACACTACCTGAGCTATTAAGAGGCTGATTGGGGGTGCATGCTATACAACAGAGAAAGGAATTAGACCTAAAAGGAGAGCTTGGAAAGGGGGCCTTTATGTAGGGCAGTGAGGATTGGTTCCTAATGCTGCAACAGTTGCAGTAAAATGACTGAAGCAGCTTCCCAGCCCATTAGGGCTGCAAGCAAGTTTTCATTAGCTAGACAGAATTTTCTTCTGTCCTGATATTTGCTTTACCCTATGCTTTCTCTGCATTGGAAGAGACCACTAGCCTGCTACTTCCTTGGAGCTCTCTCAGGGACAGCTTAGAGCAGTGGGGTCCAAACTTTTGGGCATATATGCAACAAATTAAGCTCCATACCATGTCCCCCAGGCAACTCCAATCCCCCTTTCCTGCCTTATCTGCTTCCCTGCTTTTGGTTCTCTTCTCCAGTTTGCCGTGTGCCACAAAGACTGCCTGTGCAACTTGTGGCAAAAGTGCTCCTGGCTGAGGCAGCAGTCTACAGAAAACTGCAGGGTTTGGGCATCTGAAAGGAGAGACAGATTTCAATTCCATCAACAATCTGCAGGGAAGCTCAGGAGGCATGATCTGGCTTTTCATCTTAACATTTGCACATTTGAGAACTGTGGGGTTTGCAATGACAGACAGAGGGGGGAAAATTGTGTGGAAAATGAAAACCCTTAAAAAAAAGTTGGATTAACTGCCCAAAAGCCTCTTAAAAATTTCTTTGCCTATCTGCAGCTGAAGAAGCAGATATAAAACTAGCAGTGTCTCAGAGCTGGAGGCACTCCTCCCCTGCCACCAGTTAACAGGTTTGGTTTGTTTTCAAGGCTGCCTGGAGTAGAAATCTAAAGGCATGCATTAGGGATCCCAACACACCCTTATTCATAAGCAAAAAGCTTATTCACATTCAGCTGAAGGAAGAAAAAAGCTTGCTGCTTTCATTAAAACATGAAATATTTTATTTATTACCTATTTCCTTGACATTCAGAACCTCCAATGCCCAAAAGATAGATTGAATAGTTATGTAAATGCAGAGATTACATACATGTGCAACATAACAATTAAGCTTAATAGACACTGTTATGGTCTATAAAATGTTTACAATCAGCTTAACCTTTAGCACTGTTACTTCCTTTTTGTTTCTTGTCGTAAACTGTCCGGTTCCCTCTACACAGTACAGGTATTGCGCAATTAGCTAGTTAACTGCGCAGTTACCTGGAGACTAGCTACACATGCGACATACTTATCACACGATAAAAAGCTCCAACCAGCTATAAACTTGTACCTCAAGAATGTGCACTAACTGTATAGCTGGTTGCCTTCAAACTTCAGTTTACATGTGTAGCATGGCCTCCCCTGCAGCTGGGAGCCCCATCAGCTAACTCCCAGGTGCAAGAGTCCATCATGCCCAGTGCAAAACCTCTGAGCCCTAGACAATCCCCATGCCCCAGTGGTGCGGGGAAACCCTCATGGCTAGAGGATCACTGCAGGGATACATGGGTCTTGCAGCTATAGGAGCCTGCTTCTTCTTAGTGCAGGGGAAGCCAGGGATCAGACTCCCCCCTACCCAGCAATCTAATGTGTGATCCTACAACCATGCCTCTGCATGATTGTGTGAATTGCACATTAGATCCCATTACACCATAAAATCTCCCCTCTGTCAGCTTTGTTCAGCAGTTAGTTTTAGAAAAGCCTATTAGACACAAAGAAAGCCCAACATCCCCCACTCAAGTTATTGTGATTAAGACAGATTGACATTAAGGTATTAAAACTTTCAGCACTTTTTAAAAGTCACCCAACTTTTGATGTATAGCATACCACAATTCATATATAACTTTTCAGAATAAGTGTTTTGTTTTAATAAGTAAGGCATCTTGAGAACAACATGAGCCATGCCTAACAGATGAATGGTTGTGTCACCAACAGTATAAGAATGTTAGAAGGAACTGTCTTCTTCAGCTTTTTACTTACTCTAGGCAAAGTTTTGTGCTCCAGACTTGCTCCAAATGTTTTTTCCATCCATTCCTTCAAAATTGGTAATACTGTACCACCTAATCTGTACCTAGAACGTAAAGAGTCAATGTTCATATTGGCTCTTTTTAATACGATTCCCTGGAGTTTGTTATGAATTTTCTTGATGGAATTAGTTATTTAACTATTTACATATTTCCAAGAAAAGAATGGCTGAATCAAGAGAAAGTGCATGTAAGCTTAAGGTGTGAAAAAACTCAGCTAGACATTCAAATAATTGACAGTTTTTTTGTTGGGGTTTTTTTTTTTTTTTTTT